GGATAGAACTCTCTGCCTTCAAAAGTTTTCTCTGTCAAAAAAGTTACCATCACTAGGGCAACTGGGACTCTTGCCTCTCACCCTTTCTGATAGGCACAAACTTGCAGCCTGGGAGGATATTGCCTTTTCATCAAGTCAGTCAGCCTCCCTTTCATTTAACCCTGAACTTTCAATTTTGACTGTTTGCCAAGAAAAGGCCTGCATCAGCCTGAGACAGATAACTGCAATCCTCAAGTCTAAAAATCCTCCTCTCAGTGATATGAACTAAAGAATCACCTTCAGGCCTGGCCATCAATCATGCTACCTCACCAGGAGCCCCGTTGCTGTCAGATGTCACAGGAAGCATAAACAGGCATCCAGCCACACATCAAACCTGATAGACTATTAATCATCTTGGGCAAGATCTCTGTGCTATCAAAGTGACCATCACCTTGCACTCTGCAGTTCTTGACCCATACACCCCTTTTGGACTGTTCTAGATTTTGCAGATTCTTTCCTCTGTTTGTGAGTTCCTCTCATAAGCCCCTTCAACTGGGAAAATCCTGAGACAAAAGATCAGTTCACTTGGACTCAATTGGTATAAGGGGTTAAAAAAGCTCTCTCATCTTGGCTCTGCACCTGTGTCCTGTATAACAAGAAAGCCTTCTTAGTTGTCAACACAAACCCACAAGGCTATCTGATAGGCTCCTAGATTCAGCCCAAGAAAGAAAAATTTTATCCTGTTCTGCTCTGGGATCCCAAGTCTGACCTGCCTCCTCCTTACACTTGTCAACCCCAAGCTGCTCAGCCAGCCATGATGCCACCACCGCCAGTTCTATCTCCTGTACCACAGCCAATGTGAATAAATCTGCCACCAAACCCTGGGTGTGCTACTGTCAGCAACTCCTTCTGACTCTGTTTAACACGAAAGAATGCCATCCTATTTTAGATGGGGCCAAACATGGTTAAAGTCAAAAGTGCCTGCCATTGTGGTTGATCCTGCCAACTGAGTAGACACAGTCCTCTCCTGAGTACATCCTACCTGGGGCCACAAAGCCTTAGATCAATACCATACTGCTCTCCTGTGCAGACCCTGAAGAAGGAAGCAAGCAGCCATACATATGTCTAAAGTTACTGAAGTTACCCACTGGAGCCCCCACTAAGAAGTTGTTCTGCCAAAGCAGATCCTATGAGATCTATGGGCACTTTATGAAACATGAATTGCTGCACATGCTTGAATGTCCCATATCTCTCCTGGGATATGAATGGTCTCCCTTAAACTTAGGTCTACTGTCCCAGAATTGATCTAGACTCTGACTGTAACCCAGGAGGAGCTATCGTGCTTATATCACCTTGAAATGCCTGACAATTATAACCCTATAGAAATAGCTTGTAACCAGTTGAAAAAGACCAGCTATATCCGTGCACATTCTTGCACACCTATATAACCCAGACGCATATTAACCACTTCTACAATTGTGCTTCAGAAGTCTAACCTTAGATCCACTGAAAATTTTATCTGGATAACTCCTCCCAGGCTCACTCTGCAGCGACAACGGACACTGACCCTTCCATGCATGAGCAAAGCCTGAGGACACTCTTCACAGGCTTGCTCTATACTTATTCCCCTTGATTCTTGTGTCTTTTCAGGCTGCTTTTCCCTGTCCTTGCTTCCCTGCCCTTCTGCTAGCTGTGGTTTTTTAAATTGACTTGCATTTTGCTTTTCCCAGTCTTTGCTTTCCCACTCTTCCAGCTGTATTTTTTTTTTTTTTTTTTGCCTTAAACTTTATGGATGGTTGCTCCAAGAGAATAGAACAATCAAACACTTCACCAAGATTTGATGCATGTCAAAGACACATCGCACACTCTCCTAAATCAGATTAACTCCCTCACTACCTTGCTAGAGTGATAGTTCAAAACGAACAGGCCTAAATTTTGCTTGGTCTTGTCTTAGAAGATCATATGTAATACACCTAGCAAAGATTTGCTGGGAAAACTACAAGAAATGGCCCCCCACCCCAGCCAGGATATTTCAGTTTATTAGCTGCCCAGGTATTAGTTCCTGTTTTAGTTTTAGTTGCTTCTGGTCTCTTAGAAACAGCTGGTTACTGTGATGCATAGCTTATCACTACGATGCACATTCTATAAATCAGTCCCGAATTGCTTGCCTGCTTAACCAATATAAGCCCTAGACCATTAGAGATCAGGGCCTGATCCCGATTAGTGTCTGTCAATGTGAATAAATCTGCCACCAAACCCTGGCTGTCATTTTGATGTTTTTGCTTGCTAGTGCAGTAGGAGTGTTACAGGTAACTAGAGAGATAAACACCACATGCTACATCTAGGAATAGACATTTTGTATCAGAAAGGAAAGGATTTAGGAGGGAATGGAGTAGTTAGGTTTGCAATTCCCAGATCTGCTCTGAGTGTAGGGCAAAAATTTCTCTCTGGACAGAGTGTTGAGGGTTAGGAGTCTATGAGGACTGAGCAGGGATGCCAGCAAATGGGTGTAGGAGGGATGGTCTGGGGAGACGCTTAGAGATGGTTTGGTGTTGGAGGTGAGGTTGAATGCAGGAAAAAAGTCCAGAGTAGCTCCCAGATTATGGCCTGGGGAATCAAATTTCTTACAGAGCCACCAACTGGGATATTTCTTTTTTTATTTTATCTGCAGTGGTGCTTACTCTGTAAACACATTGGCATTGGTCATATTTGTCAGTGAAAATCTTTTTCCAACGTAAAATTAACTGTTGTCCTTCAAGACAAGAAAAATGACAGGGAAAAATGTAACCTGGTCTTAATTATTTGCCCATTGTTTACTCAGGAGAACTAGTGCGGTGGTGGGCAGGTGGGTTTTGCATAGAACAGTGCCTTAAAGGGGCATCTGTGCAGTAGTTTACCACACAGTCAGCCTCGACAGCTGACCTGGCCATGTTTTTGGCTGAAACCCCAGTACTGACCTTGGAACCATCATTCTTGTTATAATGTATATTGGTTTTTATCATAGACATCAGTGCTTTAGATGTGACCTCCAGACACCCTTGCTGCAAAAATAGTGACCTGCAGAACTGAGTGGAGTTGGGCAATCAGCCTGTGGATCAGCCTGAGGTGGGGAGGAGTTTAAGTGAAGCATGTACTTGGTTGGGCCCATTTTTAAAAATTTTTATTTTAAAGGGGGTAAAATTAAACACACACACACAAAAAAAAAACCCAGAACAAAATAGGACATAAGAAAGCAATGTAAGAGATATAAATTTCAAAGCTAGACAACCTGAGATCTTCACTGTCTATCATATTGTCTCTTGTTTTTTCCAAATAGTTGTCCATGTCTTCGCATACAGAGAATTCATAAATAACAACACGGTATAAAACTGATCCGAGCAGCATGAGGAAGGTGTTTTAGGTCTTCAAAACCAGACAATAGGGAGGTCACTAATGGCTGTTGTAGAGTCTCTTGTTCTCTTCAAAATAGCTGTCCATATTTTCATGTATATTGAAGCTCAACAAAAACAAAACAGGCAGAGCGGGGAGGGGTTGCTTGGTTTCCTTGCGCTCCAAGTCCCAGCAAGGCGTGGGTCCCAGTAAATGTTAGAGGTTTCCATCCTGGGTTGCCGGAGCCTGGTTGAGCCCACTTAATCTAGAAAACTTGAGTGATCTTAGAAGACCCAACTGGGAATGTTCAAGAGTTGCCTGGCTTCTGTTGCTATATTTGAGAGCACGGATCTCAGGACTTGAGTTTTGACTTACTTGGCTGTTACAAATTAAAGTCACCCTGAAATACAACTGAAAGAGTTTTAAAAGAAGTTAGATGTTCACAATAGGAACCAGGAGACTGGAAACAGGGGCTTCCCTTGAACTGGTCCGGTTATCTGCAAGATAAACTAAATTTGGCAAAGAAAAAAGCCCAATCCACCAGTGCTCATAGGGGCCAGTGAGAAAGTATCACTGTTAAAAACAATCATTATTAAACAGATACTTGAATAGCATTTTCCCTCTACAAAGGCAACACAAACACACTGTGGAAATTATGAAAATACAGGGAAGTATGAACTGAAACAGTGAAACCACCCACAGAGAGCCCCACACGGACAAGAGCACCAGCATTTGGAGTATTTTCTCTCAGCCTTGTTTCTATCCTTCTTGAACTGAGTGTTGCCTAAGTAGTTCCATAGCCATTTTATAGAGATCATTAATTAAATTATAATGCTTATTTGAAAAGTAGATTCATTTAGTAGTACATTTTAAAATATTTTTTTCTAATTAAAAAAAATGAAGAAAGTGTGTACAATATAGAAAAACAAAAGACAAGAATCACTTGGATTCCCACCAAAGGAATTATGTTTAGCATTTTAGTATATAACCTTCTGTATTTTTTCCATGCATACATGTATATTTCTCATTTATTAAACATAAAAACAGTACATCATTTTTATGATATGTATTTTTCACTTAGTGATATAGAATAAACACTTACCATAAAAATAAATGTTCTACAGCATGTTTTTTAATGACTATCTAGATGGAATTCCTCCATACAGATGTATCATAATTTACCTAGACCTTCTCTTACTGTGGGGTTGGTTGCTTGTCTGTAATTTCTCATATTGTAAACAATTCATAATTAACATACTCATGAATAATAATTAACTTTATAAAACAAATTCCTAGAGTAAAAAGAAGATATAAATACACATGTTATTTTATAGAGAAAAAGTAATAAAAACAATTTTATAGAGAAAAAACAATAAAAACTGATACAAATTTCAAAGCAAGATAGTAGGAGGGTAACAATATTGTTATCTTCAAAGTAGTTGCTCAGATTATGATATAAGCATGAAAAATTAATTAAATAATATAAGCACAAACCTTTCTTTTCAATGAACTGAGAGAAATTAGTAGGATAAGTATCTTAACTATCATATATATATATAGATATATATTTATCTTTTTATTTTTCCTTTTCCTTTCCTTCTTTTCTCTTCCCCTATCCTAGTTTCCCTTTACTTTTGAATAGTTTCTTTCAATTTTCCAATATCTATTGTACATTTTGGATCTTTTTCCCCCCCTCAAATTCATTTTATTTCAAAGAGAAAAGAAGAAGAAAAACCTCCAAAATTTCAAAATACATCAGCACATTTTGGATCTTATTTACTCTTTTAGCTTCTTACAATAGGGAGACAAGATAATGTTTACATATGTGAGTCTGATTTATCTCACTCTCAAGTTGTGTCCATTTACCTATAAAAATCTTGGACTTCCGGGAGAACATGGTGGATAGATAACAGCAGCTATGGAGGCTCTCTGAGATAGCCAGCTTAGAATCCAGGAAAGGTACGGTGTGAGGAGTCCTAAGTAAGGGGAGATATACCCTGCCGACCCAGGAATGAACTAAGCTGAGAGAAACCAACTGGAAATGCAATCCTGGTGCTATAACCGGAACAGATTAAAATCTCAGCGCTGAAGCTGGAACCCACACCTCTGGAAATCATGATTTGAATTTCCTGCTGCTGCTGCAGCATCTAAATCGGCACTGCAGGGACAGAGACGCGAAAGCTCTGAGAGTGGGAATCGGCAACAGAGTTGAGAGCGGGACTGGCGGGGAGCCCTGCATCGACCTGTGGTGAGTGAGAGGAATAGGGACCCTTCCATAGACTAGGAGGCTCCAACAGAGGACATTCTGGGACCAGGCAGACTAGCCAGAACAGGACGCTGCAGTGACTTTAGTCGCATATTCCCCTCTCAAGTGGGATTGGTGGGGAGCACTTGGCCTGGGTGACGCCGTGGACTAAGACCCAGTAGGCTAGCCCAAACCAGGTCCCAGCGCTGGTGGTGCACCCTAGCAATGAAGCCTTCAGTAGGTGGACCTGGAGGGGCAGGCCCAGTAGAGGCTGCCCAGGTCTGTGTCTCCCTAGTACACTGCAGTGGGCAGGAACACCTAGCCAACGTGATTCAAACAAACTGTAACCAATAAAGAAAGAAACTGGGTCTCCTATATACACCTGTATGGAAGGAACAAAAAATATGAGAAGAGGAGGCAACAAGAAAGGGTCCTCGGCCCCCAATCCTGAGAACACTGATCCAGGAAAGGTAAATGCAAAGGAGAATGAGGACAGAAAACATGCAATATCAGACACAGCACCAATAGATATAAAGTGATATCTCTGGAGCCTCATAGACGAGTTCAAAAGTGAAGTATTTAATGAAGTAAAGCAAGATATAAGTAGAATAGTTAGAGAAATGCTAAGCACCACTCAAGAAAAAACAGATGGTGGAATGGAAGAACAGAAAAAAAGGGGAGAATTGTTTGATGAAGAAAATAGAGAAAACATAGAATACGTGAAGCAGGTTCAAGGAGATTACCAAGAAACTAAAAACTCTATTGAAAGCTGGCATAACAGCTTGACAGAAACTAAGGTTAGATTATCTGAACTGGAGGACAGATTTGTAATGTGGGAGCATGAAATGAAAAGCTTCTTAAAAATAACAAGAAAACAAACAGCAATAATACAAAGGCTAGAAGATGATAAGAGGATCTATAACTTAAGAATTAAGAAAAAAAAAGAATTAAGAATGTAAAAGAAGAAGTAGGGACACAAACAAATGAACTACAAAGGCTATTCACAGAAATAATCCAGGAGAATTTCCCTAATTTAGCAAAAGGTAAAGATACTCAGATGCATGAGGCATACAGGAGTCCAGCCACCTACAACCCAAACAGAAATACACCCAGGCATATAATAATCAAAATTCCAGAAATTCAATATAAGAGCAGAATATTAAAAGCCATCAGAGACAAGAAACAGGTCACTTACAAGGGAACATCCATCAGAATTACAGCAGACTTCTCAGCACAAACCATCAAAGCATGAAGAGCTTGGGGGGAAATAATTCAAGCTTTGAAAGATAATAACCAAAAAAAAAAAGAAAGAAAGAAAGATAATAACCTCCATCCAAGATTGATATATCCTGCACAACTGTCCCTAGAAATTGATGGAGAAACAAGGTGCTCCCAGGATAAAGAGGAACTAGGGGAATTTGCAACCACCAATTCAACTCTACAGAGAATACTGTAGGACATCCTAAAAAAGAAAAATACCATGATTCCAGAAACAGTGGCAGAGAGGCCACAATGAATGGAGCAGAAAGCAAAATGAAGAAGACAAACTGACAACTAATGACAGAAAAAGATCTCAACAGAAATGAAGCAGAGAAGGTTGGATGGTAGGAACAGCTATTTTGGAGAAAACAAGACATCATAATAACTAGTGCTGATTTAATATCATCTTGTTTTGAAGTCCCATCAAGCTTTTGTTCTTCTTTCTCCATCGGTCTTAACATATTGTATCTTATTGGATTTTATTATATGTGATAATATAAATAAAAACTTTTATAGACAAGGAGATTATACAGAAACCATTGTTCATTTTCTGTTAGTTGATTCTAAATACCCTGTAATACTGGCATTCTCTTGAATGGTTTTACATTGTCTTGATATGTTTGATGGTACAGTATAAGAAGTTATACTCAAAGATTTCAAGGAAAGAGACATTATGGTAACTACTTTTATGTTGGGATATCTTGTGGTGAAACACTATTTTGCTTAAATGGTTATGTTTTGACCTGCGCTGTTTTGTTGTTATGTCCTCTTTAATCTCAGTATCCTTTTTAATTATTTACTTTTTACTTTTATCTTTTTAATTAAGGGAAAAATAAATAAAAAATAGCAGGATATATTATAGTAACCCACTTTGATTTCCTATTAACTTGGTTTGAAACCCTGAATTGCTCTCACCATCTTGTTTTGACTGATTTTCCTCTATTCTGTTTTGCTTGCTAATACCAAGTTTGAGAGTATAGGCAACAACTGTGAAGACAATAAGATCCATTATGACACCCATTCTGATTTGACTATTATCTTCTTTGAAGTCCTGTAATGTCTCCAATGTTTTGGTTTTATTGGTTTTGTTCTTTACTGTTTTGTTCAATTTTATTATAACTGATGATATAGGCGATTCTTTTTAATATAGCAAGAGGCATTATGGTAAAACTTGTACCCTTTTTCTATTTTTTTCTTTTTTTCTTTTCTCCTTAAATAAATTTTTTTTAAACAAATCTCACAGTTTTCCTTCTTTATAACTGCATTAGGCCCAGATCATATTTTGAAAAACATGATCCCAAACCTCATCTCACAGATAAGACACTTGGTTTACAACTCTGTGAGGTAAATACCTTGGTGTTAGGTAATGGGTTGGGATCTGGCTGTATTCAGCCTTGGATTTTCCCAATCCTATGCCACCACCTTCACTACTAACCAGAGGGGATGGGTGGATAGCCAGATGGACACATAGATAGGTGAATAAACAGCGGCAGATAAATAAACAAACTGATGGATGGGCAGAGATTGATGAAAAGAGAGAGGTACAAATTTAATTGTACCATTAAAGCCATTACAAAAAGGAGATTATGCTGAAAGACAGAGTAGAAAGAGTGCTAGACTACAAGAAATGTCTAGATTCTAATTCTGACAGGGTGCTAATTTGCTGTGTTACCATGGGCAGGTTCCTGAGCTCCTATGAATCTCAATCAGATCCACAAAAGGAGGTCCTGCATGAGAGTACTTGGTTAGTTGTGATAGACTTAAGTTAATGAATTTATGATGACCTCCTCTGTTCAAGTGTTCCTATTCCAGTGTTCAAGTGTTCCTATTCCAATGGAATTCCTATTCTCCAATGGTGGAGGGTAAGGGCTACTCTCATGCCTTTTTGTCTGATGGTGCAAGAAGTTTGATGGACCTATCCAAGGTAAATAAACACATTAATAGAATAGCTATCATGATTAACACACAAGTGTTCTTCTTCAACACCATGACCCAGCTTTGCTCATTGTTATGGCTTGTACCTAGATTCCCTCCAAAACCTCATGTGCTCATAGGTGGGGCTTTTTGGAGGTGACTGGATACAGGGTGTGTGAAGATGGATTAAGAGTGAGAAGTAACTAAATTAGCCCATGGATTGCTTTAGCATATTTCTGAGTGTGGATAATGTGTGGGAAGGTCCACTGTGGGTGTGGGTGGCACCACCCAAAATGTTTGTAGCCTGAATGGAATAAAAGGGAAAGGGAGGCTCAGTGCTGCTGCTTTGTTGCTTCCTGTCTGCCTCACCATTTCTTGTCTGCATGCCCCTCTCCTTGGAACGAGCCAACTATGGACTGAAACCTCTAGAAACTGTAAGCGAAAATAAATCTTTCCTCCTTTAACTTGTGAGTATTGAGTATTTTGTTTCAACAACAAGAAAAATAAGATGCTCCTGGACATATCCAATCAATATAGAGGCCACACTAAACTAAGAGAAACAGGGAAGCAGGGAAATGGCCATGATCACTCTGTGGCTTGAGGGGTTTCATCCTGATAAACCCTGGCTGCTGACCTGGTTTTCTTATCCTCTTGTAGTGTCCATCTCATATTTGTTTGTTTTTTTCTTTAACATATTCACATTTCCAGTTGTCTTGGAAATGTGCTCACTTTAGAAGATATATATGTAAGAAAGAAGACATTTGCGCTCTACTTTGTATACTATCAAGAAGTCAATTCTAGTTAGATTTCAGGTTTAAATGGAAAAGAAATTCTTTAAAAATTTTTGATCAAAAAATATTTCTCATAAAAAGATTAATAATTTAAAATCCATTAGAATTCTCCTCATTAGAGACTGGGCTCGTTGACACTTTAATGTAAGAAGGAAGTTAAGCAGAGATGGAGTGGGTGGGGAGGTGAGTGAGTGCCACCCCCAGGGATTTTTACTTCAGAGGTGAGATATGTGGTCAAAGGTTTGTGCCACCCCCAGTCTGGCAATAGTGTGATGAAGATTTACCTGGCATGAGCTTCACATTCCCACAAGGGTATCTAGGTGACTTATGGACAGGGTATCGAGTGTGAGGAAGCCCTGTAAATCTTTTGTTACTTGTGAAAATAGAATTTAATATACATACCTGACAGATGTGTCACAGATATCTTGGCAGCATGGATCCTAGCTGATTTCCCTCTTCAGGCTTTGGGTAGGTCTGTTACGTCGCCATTGATATAGAAGGGGAAAGATCATCTTCTTGATACGGGAGAACGGAATTCCAGACCTACTAAGTGTCTGGTACAAGTTTGTGTTCTCTAAAATTGAAGAATGAATTTTAGGAACAATGGAGGTTAAGAGCAGAAATACTTATTGAGAGAAAGAAAGTTTCTGTCTGAGAGAGACTGAAGAGGTCCCTAGAGGGTTACCAAAAATTCTATATTTTATAGGGATTTTTAGAGTAAAACCATGAGGTGAGGCGGGCCTCAGTGGGGAAAACTGGGAACTCACAACCAATCAGGTTAATTATTCAGGTAGAATTGACCAAATCAGGGACAAATTGGGAAGTGAGTCACATAACAAGTGGGCATTCTTATGGATCAGTGACTCTTCCTGTAGGGAGTTGGGATGGTAACTCCTAACTTCTCAAAGTGATCCATACCTAATCCCTAATGTTTATATTAGGGTGTGGTTGCATTTGTTTTGCCTTGTGTCTTGAGATCTGGCCCACAGAAAGAGGTGTATGTCTCCTCAAAGGTCACAAGACATTTGGTCCTGTGTGCTGGCTTCTTCAAGGGCCCAGCCCTGTCTTACTACCTATAATATTTCTAACTAGCTCAGCTGCTTGTAACACTCCCTTGTACAGGACCACAATTCCAACCACATTTTTGTCATGGACCTCTCACTTTCTTGTTTATTACTCTGGACCTGTCCTCCCCAGTCTCAAACACCCAAAACCAAAAGCCATCAGCAGAACAAGCTCTATAAGAGTGACAGCAGTCTTATGTTTTGCATTTTGTAGGCTATTTCCAAATATAACTTCTCATCTGGACTACAATAACCTGTGGGATCTGGTATTATCCACTTGTCTTTAGGATGAGGAAGCTGAAGGTTGGAGAGGTCATAGGACTTGCACAAGTCACACAGGTGGCAGGTGACGGAGCCAGGACTTGGAATCCAAGGTCAAGAAAACTCAGTGGGAAACAGAAGTTTGTGACTAAAAATAACCAGTGGAATAGGATAAGATGAAGAAGATGAGGCTTTTGTACCAGATGTGTATTCTATTTCACTCTTGGATTTTGTAGTATCATATGAACTATCAAAGTCCAGGGGCAATAGTTCCTCCTTGGGATACTTGTTGAGACCCTCCAGGCTGCAGACTCCCCATCTCTTGTTTCTGTGTCTGACTTGATCTCCCTAACACTTAGCACTCTAAGACCTCTTAGAGATCCCTAACTTTAGGAATGGGACCCAGTCTTCCAGTATTCTTTTAAGGCCACCTTCCAAGACTGGTGATCTTTTTATCGTAGTTGTTACTAATAGCGAAAATGGTTCTCACTGCTGCCCTCTCAGTACAAGGAGCTCTTCTTGCTATGGGAAGGCACTTACCCATTTCCCCACATTGTTGGATTGTTTCACAACAGCTCTGTGAGGAAAAATGCTATATTTATCTCTATATGACAAATAAGGAAGCTGAGGGATAGAGAGATGAGTCATTTTGCAAGGTCACTCTGCTAGAAAATGGAAGGCTGAAGACCACAGTGCCTGACCACAGGCTGCTTACACTTACTATACTCCTACCACTTCTCCCTTCCTCAGCTGCCTGTCTTGGGCTCTCTGGCCTTGTTGGCCTCAGCTGCTGGCGTTGCAACACTCTTAGTCTGATGGGCTCAGAGCACCATGTGATAGTACCTCCCTTACTGGCCTTTCTGCTGGGTCTCGGAAGGAAGTGATGATCGATCAGTCACTGGGATACCCCCAGATCTCTCTTTCATATCTGGGGTCCTCACTCTCTAGCTGCTTCCAAGGTGGGCTGCTGAATGTGCACAGCTGAGCCCCTCTCAGGAGATGTCCCTGCCTAATGGGGTGACCCAACCCAGGTTAGGCCCCTTCCCAGAGCCCACATCCAGTGACTGCTAAATGTGGGATAAGAAGACTCAGTGATCTGGCTCCCCTAGGGCCAATTCTGGAGTACCTGCCTGCCTCAGAGCTCCCTGGGACAGGATGAGTCCTCAGTGTACCTCACGGCATCCTCTCACATCTTTCTGCTTCCCCACTTGACAGGAATTGGTTCCCAAGTCCCTGATAAACAAAAAGTCCTGTGTGCATTCTACAACCAGACCTTGATTCCCTTTAGAGGCCCTTTTCCTGTCCTCATTGCAGTCTAGGAAGTTTATGTTTATAATCTCTTATAATGCAATCATAGCAAATTAATTCCAATCTACCACTGCCATTGCAACCATGGCAAGAATAAAGACACTAAGACGTATTTACAGTTAAGGGCAGCCAAGGGGTCCTAAATCTAGTCCAGATGAAGGTTCACGGAACAAACGCCCCAACCGAGGGCTTAACCCAAATTTTATTAATTTGTGAAAAAGGCAGTGGCTAAGAATGAGTGACTGTGAGAATGATGGGAATTGTGTAAGTACTGTGAGCTGAGCTTGCTAGGAGGCCAAAAGCACCTCTGCAATATGCAGGAAGAAGGGTATCCAGAAAGACCAATCTGCATAATACAGTTGAGTAGGATTTATTGTTTAGGGGGCTTGTGCTTTAGTTCTGATATGTAAGCTTTTTTCTTACCCTGGGAAGTCAGAGCCTCTTATCTTGAGGCTCGAACCCAGTTGGCAGTCCTGGAGCCTTGGCTCTGCCATCCCACTGTGCTCAGCCATTTAGAGGGAGACACTGATGTGAGCAAACAGAAGACTGTCAGCTGGCTTCAAAGATTATACGTCAGTACCTCAGCTAGTCCTGTTTATGTTGCTTAGAGCCAATGGAAGAGAAAAGGAAAGAGCTTAGCCAGCTCTGGACATATCACTGCACGGAGATAGGACCAGGTTTAGCTGAAGTGGAGGTAGTTGTTCTTTATTCAAGGAGAGCTGTTCCAGTGGACCTCTACAGTTTCCAACCTGAGAAGTGACTCAGCTGTCCCTAGGCCTGGCCTGGTCCTTCTGGTGGCCAGTGTGATGCCTCAGCCAGGATGTGGGCTCAAACTCTTCCCTGAATTTCCATTTCCCATCGGCCTGAGGTCTGGCACCATTTCATGCATACCAACTCTTTCTTTGCTGTCCTATGTTCAGGGGACACACTGCACCTTCAGCCATGCTAGAACCAAGTTTCTAGGATAGATTTCACCTGATGTGACATCCTGTCATTCCAATGATGACTAGAAGGACCCAGCCTGGGGCCCAAGTCCTGCTGGCCAGTTTCTAATGTGGCCCTCATTGGGAGGCCAGCTGCATCGGGGATGGAAATGCATGTTCACAAAGCATGCTGGGAAAAGGTGCAGAGGAGCAGAATATCACCCAGTCCTGGCCCTGTGTGCCCCTAGAGGGAAACCCAGGAGTCTCGTCTCTGAATCCTATTTGTCCTCCTAACTTTGACCCTCATTTCTTTTTTTGTTTTACAAGTTATACAGAATTTCAGAAAAAATAAACAATAGGAAATAACTAGTTACTAGATCACATATTGTTATCTTAGAAATAGTTGTTCAAGTTACAAAATGAAAGCATATAAAGTGGACTTTCAAACAGTGAGACTGGAAACAGTTTTGTTCAATGATCCAACAAAACTCAGTAATATGGTTATGTATCTTATACACTTAAATATATATGCGGTTATATTCTTTAGAGCACTTTCTTTTCCTTTCTTTTGTACAATGACAATTACACATTTTGGGTTTTATTACTCCCACAGTTCTTTTTCCTTTTTATCGGTACCAGGGATCGAACTCACGACTGCCTGCTTTCAAGGCAGGCGCTTATGCCGCTGAGCTAAATCCCCAGCCCCCACTCCCACAGTTCTTAATACTTTTTCTGAAGAGAGTAAAACCAAATGTGACAGAACAGAGTCAGTCAAATCAAAAGGATGGACATAATAGATAATGTAAAAACAAAATACAAGGTGATCAACAATGGTCAGTACTGGGGATCAAACTCACAACCGACTGCCTGCTTAAGGCAGGTGCTTATGCCACTGAGCTAAATCCCCAGCCCCTGACCCTCATTTCTTCTAGGCCATTGTGCTGTTTCTTTGTCACCTCCTCCCTGCCCTGTATCTGCCCTGCATGCTGCTGCTTCTTTCCTGTCCTTCAAGAAGGTCTCAAGTTTCAGTCCTGCCCTGCTGTAATCCTAATGCTTCTCAATGCACACCTGGTCATGACAGAAAGGGGTGTCCTTGGGCTCCCTGCAGAACTTTCTGACCTTGTGACTGGGCTCATTCTTTCCTCCTCAGACACTTTAGCCATGAAGTGCTTCTCGATCAAAGCAATGAGCTGTGATTGGTGAGGACCACACTTCTCCAACTCTTTCACCTTGTCCTTGATTTCCTGCTGGCCGCCTGTGTGCTTTGTCTCTTCCTCCCGGATTACAGGCAGCTCAGGAGATGTTGCACAGATCCCACAATATCACACATGCAGGAGGCTCTCAGGAGAGAGGATCAGGGCAGTCTATCATTTCCTGGTGGTTCTAGATCTATTCTCCTTCCTCCCCTGTGTCCCACTCGTCTTGTGTGTACTTTCCTGAAATAAAGATATATTGATGTATACAATACAGTTACTTCATCATAAGACAAAGCAACATACATTGAGACCCTAACCTAAACCATGCCTTGAATCAAGAGGGCTGAAAGACTAAGGTAGATATTTAGTAACTACAAATTGACAATTTACAATAAATTACCAACCCAACAAGAAGAAAAATTATAATTTTGAAATGATGATCTTACAGTGGGCTAAAGCCAGGGTAGACTCTACAAACAGTGAGAGCTGCCTGGACTTTGAAGATAATCAGTGGTAAATATATAAAAAACTTCTAGTGAAAAAGGTCACCATTTTATTAGAGCAATTCAAGTGTGGTGCATTACCTAAGGCCTTTTGTAGGCTGATGGACAAGTGGCCAGTCCCTGACTGACCTCTAGACCAGGTAGTGTAGGCCACTGTCCTATTCTCTGCCCTGAACTCAGAGGCACAGCTACACACAGTGATATCACTGTGTCCTTGCATAAGCTACAAGGCTAACCTTTGAATTTGCATTCAAAAGTGCTTTCCTCTTATTTTCTTGTCTTGCTCCCCTAACAAAGACCTAGAAGCTTCTGATAGGAAGCAAAGTTCAGATGAGCTTCAGAGATAATGATAAAGAGTGTATGGTTCCTAGAGATTGTTAGTACAGTATGGCCTATGAGTTGCAGTTTGACTCTTTTCTTTTTCTCTGCACTTTTGTCCTCTGCTGTATACTCTGAGTTGTTCTTCCAAACAGGCTGTCCAGCTGTAGCACTGGCTGCCCAGTTCTGGACTTGTTCCTAGTGGGCAGCAAGAAGGGACCTCTCTCTCCTACCTGCTGTATCAAATTAATGTCAGGATGACATAGCCCCACTGTTTAAAAATCAAAGCATCCATGATGGGTAAGTTTGCAGGAAGACCTCAGACTCAAACTCAGACTTTCCCCCATTGAGCTCTTACGACAAAGATCTCTTTAGAGACCTCAAAAGTGTGTGGATTTTGCCCCACCAGCAAGCAGTGGACACCAGCTAGGTGTTCAGTCTCTAAACTAATTCAGAGACAGCATCAGATCCCACAAGCTGTCCTCAGTACAATTCTCTCTGACTTTATTTATTTATTTTTAAAAATATTTTTGTGGTACCGGGGATCAAACTCATGACCTCACACTTGCCAGGCAGGCATTTACACCGCTGACCTAAATCCCCAGTCCCAATTCTCTCTGACTTTAGATGCCAGTTACAAGTTCCAAGTTGCTTCACCTATGCTTCTGACTGACCTGCTGCAAAATAGAGTTTCCATGATCCTCTCCTTAGGTTCAATGAACTGCTCAAGTGGCTCACAGAACTCAGGAAACAGTTACATATATTCTTTCTCATAAAGGATGCAAATGGAGAGACACATAGGGTGAAGAGCTTTTGTGCTCTCTTGGGCAAACTGTCCTTCAAGAACCTCCATGGGGTCAGCTTTCCGGAAGCTCCTTGGGCCCTGTCCCTCTGGATTTCTATGGAGACTAGAGTGCACAGTGTGACTGAAGCATTGGTATCTGTGTTAAAAGTGCCTGGACAAAAAATAGACAGCACTAACAGACAGGGCGGGGAACCCAGCAAGGTACATCCTCAGCGTCTTCCAGCATTCTTTCCTGTGGGATGTAGTAGGAGCCCCTGAATGGAGGTCTTATGATCTACCATCAGATAAATTAGGTCAAAGAACTTCTTTATGATGAGTGTGTCAACAATGGGGGAGGATTATGGAGGACTATATTTTTATTAGCTATGATACAGCCTTAGGAAGAGAAATTCTAGTTTCTATGGCTGCCTTGGGGAAGCAATTGTGAGCAAGGAACCAGGGATGAAAAACCTAAAGAACGTATATCATCTCATAAAAAGGTACTGAGAATTGCTTTGCAACAAATTCAAAGTCATTAAAGGAAAAAATATGGGCAATAATATTTATAAGAAGAATTTGCACATTGCAGAAAAATTTATCCCAAGAAATATTTGTCCATAATATGTTGCCTCCCTACGTGAGTAAGAGAGACCCAGATCCTGGTTCTGTACTGTGAAAGAGACCCAGATAAATACCACACACACACACACACACACACACACACACACACACGCATGCATGCATGTATGCACACACACATGCAAATGCACCTGGGCACCCTGCCCCTCAAGGCAGAGCTCTCAGTGCAGACCTAGCAACCCATGTTCCTAAACATCCACTCTTACGGACAATGCTGCTCAGGCCCAGGGCCTCTTCTTCATCTTGTCCTTGACTTTGCATCTTGTCCTTGAAACTGAAAGTGACTGCATCCAGGCCTGAGAGAGCAAGGTGCACTACTGCCCATTTCCCATGTGGACACAGTTTTGGAATATGGAAAGACAGGTGCTGAGAGAGGAGAAATGATGTGTTCATTACCTTGTGTGATTCTTTCTGTCACAGGGCAGGGACATAATGGATTCTTGCATAATGGAGAATTATTTCCCAATAGTACCAAGAGTCCATTTTCTTGTTTTTCTTCACATTCCAATTAGGATTCCAGAATACTACACTGTCACACACAGTATTGTAGCAGCTAAACGTATATTATGCAGCATCACATTACGCTTTTCTTTCTTGCTTTCATATATAGATATAGCTGCAGATATGGCATATGAGGATAAAACCAGATCTTTACATTAGCAGCTGAATGGACTTTGCTAGAATTGCAAATAGGTTTATTTTTATAAAGCCATGCAATTAAATGTAATTAAATCTTAAATAAATTGAATAAAAACTTCAGATCTGTTTTGATAATTTTTAATAGTTACTGATTAATTTTAATTTAGGTTATAATAGATAATTTTGAATATTTTAGAAGAAAAACAACTTTTAAAAACACATCTAAAATAAATTTTAGTCTCTTACACTAACAGTGACTGACATATTGAAAATACGTTGACATTTTACATTTTAATATGATTATATTTATTTTTAATCTTTTCATTCAATAATTATTGCTATTAGTGAAACAGATTGCATAGTAATTTTTACTATGAGTTCCTTTAGTGATTTTACTGAAACAAAGGCAGGAGAGTGAATTTGATTAAGAAGTATGTTGTAATGAATATATGTGTTTACCCTTACCACTCATTCAGACGAGGCCAGATGAATGCTTTCCCATGTGGCTCCCAAATGCTCAGACTCCTTTCCTGAGAGTTTGCTAATTTCCCTCCTATTCTGTCAGCATACCACAGCTTTACATGTATTCCCCTTATCTTTGTAAAGAAATATTTGTTACGATGGAGGCATAGGACCTATTTTCTTTTACAGTCTATTGGCTTGCTTTAATAGCTGTTTAGCTAACACCTGCACATCTGGCACAGAGTGGTAGAGGACAACAGCTTACAGCAACCCTGCCCTCCCTGCCCGCCGGGCCCTGTGTTTGTTAACTTGTATTGAGCCTCACCCCGGAAGTGCCTTCTTTCTGCAGTTTCCTGAGCCCCCTCTGCAATCCTTCAAGGTGGAGACCGTGAGGACCGGGGATGCAGGGAAGCAGAGCCATAGTGCAAAATGAGGGGCTCTTCTTCGTGGCCTCATAGACGCGAACCCTTCTGCAGCTGGTTCCCTCGCTGCCTCATCCCTCTCCCTGGCAGATGCTGATGAACCTTGTCTTTGTCTACTCTGCTTTTTCACAGACTACTTGGCTCTGTTGCTTGTTATAGATCTCCTTAAAAATAGTTGGATCAATATATCTGTCATGGCTTTCAAGCTTGTTAGGTAATCTAAACACTTTACATGCATGTGCAAATAGGCGCCTCTTAAATTAAATTTTCAGCACAATTATATTTGTAAAACCTTCAAAATAACTTAATGCCTAATGCATTTAACTGCATTGGTAATTGAGTCAATAAACTTTTTTATAGCCATTGGAGGACGCCTATGCAATACACCATGCATGAAAATAATGGTTCTAAAGATATGATAACACAGAAATGTTATGACATTTACTTATGACAAATACAGTATACATTTTTAAAAGTACCATGGAAAATACATATATCACATGAAATTATGTAAAAAATCACAGATATATAAAAAGACACAAAGAAAACACAACTAAATGTTCTTAGTACTTGTGTTTAACATAGTGGGTAGCAATGTGATTTGTTTTCCCTTTAAATTTTCTCCCCTTTTAAAAATCATTTTGGGATTAGGTTAATCTCATAATGAAAAGCTAAATCTAAAAAATACTTATCTCTAAAAATGAAGATAAGTTTTGGCACAAGTTTATGCAACTGCCAAACAAACGTATCATCTGATCTTTTGTATAACACACCTGTCATCCCCTCCCCACCAGTCTATGTATTTTTTAAGATGAAAGCTAACCTGGTCTGCAGGGCTCTCCACCAGCCTATTTGTGCTGGCCAGCTGCCTTTTACAAGCGAAGCATTTTAGGCTTTGTCTGGTCAATTAGAAGAAGCAGAGAGGGAGGGATCTCAAGGCCTTGAGGCTTTCACACACTTCTGCAAACAGAAGAGTTCTACCATTCTCAAGGCATGCCTTCCATCCCAGGTTTCCCAGGAACCTGGAGCCACACATGTGGTCAGTGAGCTTGAAATGATAGTGGTGTTTGAGCAGAGCCTCTTGGTCTTGGGTACTCCCCAGCACCCAGAACTCTGGCACTCTCACAGAGGTCCACCCTGTTGGCAGTAAGGACCTCAGTGAATCTGCTGGGAAAAGCTCTCTTTCAAACCACTGGCCACCAGCAAGGCTGCATGACTGCTTGTCTGAGCCTATCCTAATTTCAATTCGTGGTTGATACGAAAAGGAAAGACTCACCTTGCTGAAAAGTTACCATCTCGCTCTTTCTCATCTCCTTTCCTTGCTTCCTCCTCAAACCTTGCGGGTGCCAGATGTGATGCTAAGCACTGAGAGTTCAAAGTTCATCCAGACAGGCATCAGCCATCAGGGAGCTTGAGGTCCACCTTCCCAGTGAAATGTTAGTCCTGGAACACACAGCACCAGCTTTATTTGCCTAAGAAGCTCATCAGAAAAGCAAACTCTCAGGCTCTACTTTATGGTAAATTTAACACTGTATTCGTCATAGGTGTCTTCATGTTGTTATACCTTTATACTGATGCAGAATCTGGATTTTAACAAGTTCCACAAGTGATTCTTGGGCACATTAAGGTGTGAGGTGCACCCGTCTATGGGCCTCCACAGGATGAATCAAATTTCTTCTGGGTGAAGTTATTATCGTCTTCTCAGCTGGCATTAGTAATGGTTTTCTGAGCATTTTAGCTTATGTTATGAATATCATCCGGAAATGTATGTAATTGTCACAGGATTCACAGGCTTGGTCATGAGGACGGTGCCCATGGGAGTGGAAAGTCCCCTGGCTGCTCCCGCCCCAGCCTGGGAAGCTTTGTGGAGGGGGATAGCAGTCAGGGATGGGAGCAGGGGAAAGAGGAAGTGGACATTTGTTCACTGAGGAGCATCAGAGAGGAGCTGGAGATGGTCAAGCATATTCACATGACCGGGGCTGGAGGAGACAATTCAAAAAAGGGATTTTCTTGGGGTACATCTGAGATATCCACTTCCTCTCAGGCTTAGAAAACCAAATGGCTCCCAATGCTTTGCCCCTTGGGCCTGCAGGCTGCATATGCAGCCACCCCACGAGGGAGTCCTGCAAGGGAGCAGGCACACACCAGGGGAGCAAGGGACAAGGACCCTAGTAACTTCCACCTGTCCTCTCTAATGTTGCAGAAAGAAGGGGTGTTAGGAATGGCATGGGGTTGGGTTTCATTATTTACTACATGACAGTTTGTGACATCCACAACTCTTAGAGGAGGAAAAGTATACTTTCCCTCACAGTTTTTGGTTCATAGTCAGCTGGCTCATTGGCCGAGTGGCATCGCAGAGAGACATGGCAATAGAAAAACAGCTCATAGTACAGTGATGGGAAGCAGGGAGAAAAATCAAGGGAAAAAGGAGAGAGCTATAACCTTCCAGGCCACACCCACCCTGACCTCCTCCTCTGAGCTCCCAACATCACGTTTAGCTATAAACTCATCCGTGGACTAACCTACTGCTGAGTGTCACAGTCCTATCATCCAGTTGCCTCCCCAGTTCCCCACCTGTGAGCACATGAGGCTTTGAGGGAACATCTAGATATAAACCATTATCAATTATAATCCTTAATTTACATTGTTTTGAGGAGGAAAGTCTTGTTTCTGTTAGGGCAGCCCTCCCTCACTTAAATTGGAGGCGATGTACATGTTTCAGAGAGGATGCTTCAGGAATGAAAGGGTTCTTGGACTTAGGGTACACACCTCCTATGGGGCATCCCTGGACTTACTAGCACCAAGAAGTGGCAGGTGTTTTCATTGGAGGAACTAGTGAGTAAAACAGAGTCCCCCAAGCTCCAGCATCACCAGGCTCAGGCCTGGGCAGGACATTTGCGTGGTGGAGGGTACCTGCGCTTGCTCCTTTCTTCCATTCTTTGACTTCCTGTTGCTCTGGGTAGAAACTGACTCTGATATTAGGTGTTATTTGGAGGACAATGTCGAGAGGGATAGATGAAGATTTGTTTAGATTGCCATGGGAAACCAACCCAGATGTGGTGGTGCATGCCATAATCCCAGTGCTCTGAGAGGCTGAGGTAGGGGGTCTCAAGTTTGAACCCAGCCTTGAGAATTGTCTCAAAAAAAAAGAAGTGGGGGGACCAGGAATGTGTGTCAACTTAAAGGCCCTGGATTCAATTCCCAGTAGGAAAAAAAGATTTCCACGGGAAACCACACGTAGCGATAACAGAGTTTATATTTTCAGAACATGTATATGGGAGTAAAAGCAGTGAGTTTCTCTCTCTCTCTCTCTCTCTCTCTCTCTCTCTCTCTCTCTCTGTTTTGAGACAGGATTTCACTATACAGTTCAGGGTGGCCTCAGATTCATAACAATCCTCCTGCTTCAGCCTCTCTGCTGCTGGGATTACAGGCATGTGCCACCATGCCTGGCCAAGTTTCTTTTTCTTGTGGTTCAGGAAAGAATAATCTATAAGTTATCAATGTCTTGAAATTTAAAACAATGCTTTAAAAGCTGCCCTCTCTAATGATAGACACACATACCACCAAAAGTCAAAAAGAGTCAAATCTGAGATATAATTCCTAAATTCACTGAACAAACTTACACTGGAGATAACAGTCTCCTGAAAACTGTACTGACATTTACTTGCACAGGACTTATAAAGACAAAGAACATTGTCCTCTAGGGCTGTGGCTATTTGTCACCCTATGCCACACTTGTAATCCCAGATGATGGTCATGGCAACCTAATGAGAAGCTGGGCACTGTGGCACATATCTGCAATTCTAGCGCTGAGGAGGCTGAGGCAGGAAGATTGCAAATTTGAGTCCCACCTCTGCAAGTTAGTAAGACCCTGTCTCCAAATGAAAAAAAGACAAGGGGTGGGCATGTAGCTGAGTTCTATAGCCCTGGATGAAATCATCAGTTCCACAAAAAAACAAGCAACAAACAACAAAAGCAGAATTGAAATAGCCCAATGAGACTCATACACCATATCATGAAGATAGAAAGTATATTGCTTGCTAAAAAATATAGATTAAATTCCCATTAATTTATCTTAAGCACCATAACGCCTTTTATAGGATAGTTTGGAAAATATTTTGTCATTCTGTACCAGAGACTGTAGATTCACTGCTCTACTGAAAGTTCTAGGAGACTGAGGAGAAGAGTCAAATGCACTGATCAGGCAGATCCTTAACAGGAGGGCAATGCATGGATATTTAAATGCATGTGAATATGCTGGTTCACCCACACCATGCCTGTTTAAATGGAAAATTAAACTCTTGATAGAAATACAACTTTCATTTATTCTAGCACATTTTAGAAGGCTTGCAAATGGAAAAACACAACATGAACTAACACAGGGTAGCAAAAACTATGCATCTTCACCACGTTTATCTGGGGCCACATTTTGCTTGGACACAACTGACCTAGGTCAGTGGTGGCAAACCTATGGCATGCATGCCACAGAGGGCTGTTTGTTGTGACTGAAAGCTCTAAAATGCTCTAACTTAGATTCTCTTTCTACATGAAACCACAGCTTTCCATTGTCTTTAAATTAAGGCAAAATACACAAATTAGACTTAAAAGAATAGCCACAATATAGGTTTGGTGCTTTTCTGACCTACCTTTGGTCAGTCTTCTTTATTTTTATTTTTTAAATTTTATTTTAGAGAAAACAAAACCAAGCAAAATAAAACAGAATAAAGCCAATCAAAACAACAGTGTAAGTGACAACACAGGATTTCAAAACAAAGTAATAGGAAATCAACAATGGCTACCATAATGCCTCTTGTTGTCTTCAAAATAGCTGCCCAAACCTTCAGACATAGTAAAATCAAACAAAACAGAAACAGGGCCAATAAAAACAAAATAATGAACGCAATACAGGACTTCAAAACAAGATAATAGTAAATCCAAAATGGCCTACATAATATATCTTGTTATCCATGCCATCAGATACATCAAAATCAAACAAGACAAAACAGAATAAAACCTAACCAAACAAAACAATGAGATTTTGAAACAAGATGATAGAGAATTAACAATGGCCACCACCTTCAGAAGGAGATCCCCTACTGCATATTGTTATCCTCTGAATAGATGATCAGACTCTCGGATTTAGGCCTGCAAAGTCAGTGAAACACTAGACACTACAGCATTAAGTTGTGCTTTACCTCATTAGCTACCATCACAGCCTGTGTTTCTCTGGATCAGCCGATCACTTACAGGTGGGTTGCGGGGCCGGGGTTGGGGGGCATGTTGGCTCTGCTCATCTCCCTGTCAGCGCACGCACGGGAAGGGGCTGGCATTTGGTTCTATCCCAGTTAGCACGAGCATGGCCTTGACTCACAGGAGGGCTTAGCTGTTTGTTGACTTCTTTTTCTCCTCCCAATGCTCTTTATTTTTCTTCCACCTGATCCGATATCTCTTCTTTTCTGAGCACGAGGTGCACCTCTGGTGAGTAGCAGCTCTCTCCTCTCCCTCACACCTCCACCCTCCTCTCCTGCACCTGCTAACTCCTGCTTACCCAGCGTGACCACATCAAGCATTTTCCCAGCAATGTCTCCCAGGAACCCATGCGCCCACGGGAGATGCGCAAAGTTGTATACGAACCACATTAAAGGACAAGTAAAGCTCTGAGGGAAGGTTAGTGAGCACACAGCAGCCAGTGTGTCAGTTAACTATCAGCAAGGTCTCAGGCACAAAAATCCAAAACTCGGGCTAAGGCTAGACAACCTTACATTTTCTAGAGTTCGTAAGAACCTAGCCAGACATTTATTTATTTGTATTTATTTATTTTACAAAGAAGAATGGAGTCTAAATATTTTAAAGATCTTTTAATCTGGGGTAACTCTGAAGACAAGTGAATAACGTATGTATGAGAACTGAGGTTAGGCTTCCTGTCTCTCACCTGTGCATGTGTTCTCAGGAAAGTTTAAAAGTTTATTTGATACCCTAATTATTCCTTATGCTCTCCTGGAATAATTTTCAAGTTTGTTTTTAAAGTCCAGGACCCAGCGCATAATCATCTGGCCTCTGAGCCTCTCTCTCCGTGTGTGTGTGTGTGTGTGTGTGTGTGTGTGTCTTGGACAGGAGACCAAAGGGACAGGGTGAGTGAGCTGTGTTTCCAAACATGGGCTGCACCTTGGGTCTGACGTGGACGCAGCACTGTGGCGCTGGAGGACTGAGTTACCCCATCAGTGACATCTTACACCAGGATTCCCTTTCACCCCCTGCAGGTAGAGCATAAAAATATCCCCGCAGGTGCTTCCCTCCCAAAGCGGGAGGCAACTCACAGTCCTGGGAAATGCTGTCAATTTAAATAAAAATGACCTGGGGAAGAAGGTTGGACTTCACTAAGCTTCTTTTGCTGGGGCACTTAGGATGGAAACTATGCCCAGCCGCCATAGGGAACCTAGAGGGAAATGCTGGCATCTCACAGCCCCTCCTTCCCTGGCCTGGAGGAAGGTGAGGTCCCCCAGTTCTGTCTGCTCCCAGTGGGTAGGACCTTCCCACCCCACGGAGTGCCCGGCCTCCCTTGCTTCCCACCACAGCTGCCGTGGCACCTTGTCCTCCCCTGGGCCAGCCTTATTTTCAAGCTACCCAAAAATAACAACATTTGATATGAGGGCTCTGAAAGCCTTGGCTGGGGTCAAGTTTCCAAATTCTTGACTCAAGTATTGTAAATGAGAACCAGTTTTTTTTTTTTCTTTCCAGTCAGGCTATTTTTTCCCTTCTTTTCTCTCTCTCTCTTGAGATGTTGGGAGAACCCCAACTAAGGGATCAGTGCTTAATGGGTCACAGGGTATAAATAGTGGTGTTGAGACCATAACACAAGGCTCTTTGTACTATCTTGCAACTGAACCTAAAAAAAGCTTGCAAACAGAGCAGTTAACATACCGGCTGGGGCTCTATGGGGGCGTCCAGCCTTGCTGAGCACAAGTTGCATTCTGTATTTGTCCACTCCAGCATTCCACTCCAGATATCTAGTTCCAGCTTTGCCATGTGCACAGGATGCCCTATTCATTAGGTATGTGCTCAAGAAAAAAATTCACCCCACATATTTGTCAGTGTGCTGCTGGTGGTTCACAGACACAAGCCAAGCAGAAGAGGGCAATAGGAAAGGGCTGGTCTGGAGCTCTGAGCCTGCACCCCTTACCCCTAGCTCCTCCGTATTTATTGCACCTCTTGTCAAAGCTCAGCAAGTCCTCTCTTCTCATCCAGAAAATGGGGATAAACACACCATTCATGAAAGGTTGGCTCTGAGCAGCACGTGGTGCTGCTTTGAAAATTAAGGCAGTTGCATCTGTGGATTTCTTTGCTTTGAGGCACTCTTTAAAAGAGCTATTATTCTAATTAAACTGATTTTTCATCATGGGGTCAGTTCCTTGATGAAGTTAAATGAGATGA